ACACCCAGCACAGCATTCGCCACAGCAGTCTCCGCAATTATTACACGCATCGCCCAAACAACCTGACATACTCGCAAAACACGCAATGATTGATTCGATGCACCATGGGCCTGCCAGCGTGCAATCGAGCCGCTGGATGCATCGTGTGCAGCAATCTTTTGGCTCGTCATGCGCGGGTGTGAACTCCTCTGTCTCTGGGTTCATCGGGGCGTAATTCATCTTGGATGCGGGGAGAGAGTGGCGACTGCTGGATGATTTTGGTGGTAGAGGGTCGGTGCTGAACGAAGGAGGAAGGAAGGATGATGTAAGAAGAGACCAGGTGAGCTTGTAAGTCAGGGTCAATGATGTATTCTGTTGAGAGCAGAAACAAAGTAAGATGGTGATAATTGACACGTCGTGAACACAAAATTGAACGCGATAAGAGCCTTGGTGAGCGGTGTTCGAAGTTTTTGATTTTCGACCCGCGAAGTTCAAACGCGCTTCGCGTGAGATCAGGCACGCCAGGCCACCCACAGACACACAGCCCGCCCCCTCGGCTAGCAGCACGTGGCTGTGAGCGCCGCCGATCTTGCAATCGAACTCAGGGTAGGAAAACACAGCCTCTGCAATCGCACCGTTATCATCGAAATACGGGACATGCGGTCTAGGACTGAATGCGGTGGCTGATTGCGAACACGCGCAGAAAGTGGGTACACGTTATTTTCGTCACACGCGATTCTCAAACAAGTAAAGGACGTGGCAACGGATCTTTTGACATGGGCAATGGAGAGTAACAGTAGTATTCATTCACAATGTGGGTATCTTGTATGCGCGCCCGCAATAATGGCCTGTAGCAAAACTAAACTCCCAACTCCCTGCCCAGAGGGCAATGTGACAATTTGAGAAATGTAGCAAAAACTCCAGTGCTGGCGTCAGTGACCAGGTAGTCACGCGGCAGCCTATACTCTGATCACAATGTGGATGCCTAGACCTCTGGCCTCGCGAATGGAGCAACCCAAACAAGTCCTTCCTACGCGACTCACGATCGCATGAAGGCCCTTTTCCGCACACCAGGCTCGTGCGAGCAACTGAAGATCAGACGAAGCCCTGGCATCTAGCACCAACACAGCCTTCTTGCTATTCTTGATTGTCTCCGCTGTGTTGCTGTCGTTGCTCCGCGACAGATCAAGTAGGCGCTCCGTAGACTTGGACGTGTGCAGCTCGAACGGCAGTAGGAAGTCAGGATCCAGAACATCGGTGACTGGCACGATCTTGTACGAGTACGACTGGTGTAAAGGATGCGCGTTCATGGGCTTGATGCTAGTCGCAAGCGCCTCGACTTCTGGTCCCGCAGATGCTTCGTACATCCGCTTTGGCGCAATATCTGCGGCGTCCGGGGGATGCGATAGCAGCGGCTCAAAGCCGTGGCTGTTGCGGCGTGACAGAGTTACGCTGTGTTTTGAAGAAGATCTCGAGATGGTCCCGGTACCAGAGCGCCTCAAAACCTTGGGCCGATGCGTGAACGAAGGAGGCGCAGACGCAGCTGTGGTGCAAGGGAAAGAAGTGACAAATTGAACATCGTATGTCAACGTGATGGTGTGGCTCACTGCATCTCCTCTGGAGACGAACGTCATTGATGGGGCATGGATGTCACTTTCGGTTGGCGGTCCTGTCAAGCTGTCACCGTCGATGAGGTCCGTGTTGATTGGCACCAGTTCCCACTGCGAGAAGACCAAGGGGGGAGTCGGGTACGAATCAGGATCCTGAGGAAGGACAAAATCCTCGGACCTCAATGAAGCTAGAGAATCGACTGGCGCGATAGCTGACTCTTCGGCGACTGTGTCAGAACCGTCTCTTGGTCGTAACCGGTTCTCGTGCGGAAGCAATTCGCTGTGAATCGAGTACCAACGGTCTGCAGGGCTGTCGGGCAGCTTTGGACATGAGATCCAGCCCATAGACTCTGTAGAGCCTTTGGCACACGCCAGAATACGCCCAACAACAGAAGCTTTGCTCCAAAAGGTTCTGTCGCCAAAGGTGAATCCGCCGTACAAGTTTGCTGATTCTCCCAGGTTGGCAATAGCGTTGCTGTCGTTCTCAAGCAAGGTCGACACGAGGAAGTGTGAGATGGCTTCTCCGGGGAGCACAAGACCGGTCAGATAAGACCGACTCAGCCACCCTCCGATATTGTAGCTGGACGTGGCATCGTTTTCCGAGATGATCGATACGGGAGAAAGTGGCATGCGTAAGGCACGAGAGTTGTTGCGATTCAGAGCAGGCTTCCCAATATGGCCGAAGTAGCTGTCCAGTTGTTGACCGGAAGCGAGGGGTGTTTGCAGTGGCGTGCCGTATACACTGATGCCGGAAGGGGTGGCCATGTCGAGCAACCTGCCGCTGGGCGATGCTGGGGTGGGTTCCTCGATCTTGTCTTGCTCTCCAAGCTTCCGAGCTAAGTCAGCCGAGACCGTGTCAAGGCTAGGCCATTGTAGCGTCTTCGCAAAGTGGAGAAGCCCAGACAGTTGTCTGGCTTGATGCTGCGGAAGTACGATGAGGTCCGACTGCGGTATCTGGGCGTGAGCGCCTTGGCTTAGTAATGACAGTAGTCCACGCAGTTTGGGTTTGGGTGAAACTGGCGCATCGCTGCCTCTCATGATGACGACGTTGTCGAGAAATCTTCGTGCGAGCACCAAATCCCAGTCGACCTTCCTCGTCTTGATTTTGACGAATCCTTCAATATCTTTTGCGTCGATTCGAAGTCGGATCTCGGCGTCGGTGGCATCGGCATTCGTGAAGGCATCCAGCCGAAGCAGTAACTCGCAGGCCAAGGTGATCTGCAGTAAAAGTATCTCCCGCTCTGTCCACAAAGGGTGATGGTCATTTTCGGAGGCTGGCTCGGGTTCACTCCACAGTATCTGGCCGAGCCTTATCCTCCATTCAACAAGGCTGAAGTCGTACCAGACACCCTTCAATCCCAATACCCTGAGTAGGGCCACGATTTGTGTCTGTAAGCCTGTAGGGTCTGCGGTAGAGTCGTCGTAGCCCGGTGGGGTAAGGAACTTGGTGAATAGGTTCGCGTAGAGATCTCCAGAGCTTTGGTTGTTGAGTATTGTCATGGGCTCGGGGCTGTCTTGGAATGCCTCGTACATGTCCTGGAACTCGGCCAAGCGGTCGTATATCAAGTTCAAGTCCACCGGACGGATACCCAGTCGCTCGGGAGTTGCCTGCATGACGTCCTTATTCCTGACCGACTCAGCAGAGTCTTGACTTGACTGAGACTGGTCCAGCTCACTGGCCAGCGTGTCAGACCTTGGCAACTCGAGGAAATGCGAGAAGCCAACAGTCCCTGGTTCGATACCTTGGGCACTGACCATGCTCGGCATCTCCACCACGTCCACCTGATATCCATTGTACTGTTTCGAAGTCTCGGGTAGCTGTCGGGTCTTGGACGGATGTTCGTCTAGGGTCGCGGCCGAGAAGGCGGGTTCGGCAAGTGGAAGTGTATCGGATGCTTCCTTGAGCACAGCATCGGCGTTCCAAGGATGAGTGACGGTTGGTACGTAGCGACTGCCTGTCTTTGTGATGCCGAACTGCGGGGCCCCAGCGAAGAGCGTACGCAGCTGGCCCTCACCAAGAGTTTCCAACTTGTCCTCCCTGGTTTCTTGCGGTGGTGTAGGTACGCGATCTTGCTCCAGCTCTTCTACGGGTGCCATGCTCTCATGATCGACTGCGGCACTCGGTTCCTCTTGGGGTATCGCATCGAGTGTTTGTGGAGGGGCTGAGAGCGGGGCAGTGTTATCGTGCTTGGGCGGTGCCTTTGTTGGGAAGTTTGCTATCAGCTTCTTGATCATGATGCGAGTATCGTGACGATAAGACCAAAGAGAAGGAGCAGGTGACATACAGGTACAGCGACTTCACCCTGGCGCTGTGTTTGCTTATGCTTGAAGGACCTAAAGAACTTGAGGACGCGCTGTCTCTTGCTGTCCCTCCGGAGCAGCTTTCCGGCATTCTCGTCAACCATGTCGTGATGCAGTCGTCGCAGCATCGTGGCGGCCTGCAGCAGGCAGGCGAGGCATACCGGCGGCGGACATTATAAGGGGATAAGGGGACGTCAACAAAGCTCAGCAGGCTGGGCGCGACACAGGCTGCACACATGCACGTCAAACATGGCAGCCATCCCTGCACTGACAGGCGCGCACGTCTCGATGGTTGGTGCGAGGCCGCTGCCGGTCCCTGTCCCGCACATCAGCCAGGGCGATCAGACGAATCCACGGATGACGTTCAGCCTATCGCCCCGCTTAAGTGGCCCTGCATCACCTGCACCTCTCACGCCAGACACTCACATTCCTGTTAGCAGCGCGCCACTGCGCCTACACGGCGCGCATACATCAATCAAACACTCACAGCCCGTTTGCCCTATACACGCCATCGTCTAAAGGCCGTTGCCTATGACGCTATATCGGTCCGCTCGCCTCCAGGTTCCAAGTCCTGCTCAACGGGCCCGTGCCAAGCTTCTAGAACGTGGACCCGGGTCGGTCATTTCCGCGTCTCTAATCTTATCGCCTCCACGAGCGACTGCATTGTATACGACGAGGCTCTCTATCTACAACTGCAGTATCATAGAAGAGCTCTCTAGCCTTGGTTTGGGTTTCGTTGGTGGACCAGCAAGACAGAGTTACAGTCGCAGAATTCCAGTAGCAATTGCTAGGCACCGTTCATGCCTCATCGGGCACGATTCACCCCAATGTTTCATAACGATCGATGTTGAACTGGGCCAATGGGAGATTGAATGGACCATATACTTACAAGACTTGTCGTACGACTTAGCCTTGTGGATACATAGTGTGCAAGGTATAGTTCTTGGTTCTTCTTTTATGCGAATAGTGCATTGTTGTTCTGTGACAACTTCCAAGGTTCAATAATGTTGTGCAAACAGTCTTCAGTATACAGCTGGTGGTTACTACAAACTCTGGCCTCTGCGACTTTCATGAGTTATTGAGACTGTCGTACCGTCGGCAATGGCCTCCATGCGTGGACCCCGCATGTCGTGGTGTCACACAGCAGCACCTCCGCATTCACCTATCCCACGCTAGTGCAAACAATGATTTCTATCACGCAGCAACACAGAGAACACTGTGCGCGACCCCACGAACACAAACCAAATCACAATCTCCGACAAGATGGGATTGCTTGAAGACGCGCGAAGACTCGCCAACACCTACGGACCAGAGGCGGCGCGACATGTAGCATCTGCTGCAGACAAGGCATGGGCACACGGTAGCGCTTTCGGCCAAGAGGTAGCAAAGCGTGCTGGCCCAGTCGCCTCAGACGCCAAAACCCATCTAGCGAAGCTCAGTAAAGAGGCCGGCAAGCACGCTGCCCCCATTGCCGGAAGTGCTTCAAAGCATGCTATGATACTCGCCCGATCCGCCTACAATAGCGGTAAACAGGGTCTACACGCCCTACCTCAACTCCCAGACGGATACATCAACAAGGAATACGACTGGAAGTTCATCGGACAGTTTGGAGAGGACATGGCGAACCATCTTGGTACTACAGCGGGCGACTTCTGGGACAAGCTAAGCAGCGGCGACATCATGCACGACATTGGCCAGTCTGCTCTTCCGAAGATTGAGTTCACCAAGGAAGATCTCTCGGGGTTCAGCGAGAGGCTCAAAGCATGGATTCTCGCCAACCCCAAAAAGTTCTCCACGTTGCTGGCATGTATCGCTTCAGGCCCCATCGCTCTTGCTGTCACACCAGCCACGCTGGGCCTTATCGGATTCACACCCATCGGTATCGCTGCCGGTACGTATCAACCACCCATTGTGTCTCCAGATTGATTTCTGACACATCAAACAGGCTCCATGGCTTCTGCATTCCAGGCAGGCGTCGCTCCAATTGCTGCAGGGAGCGCGTTCGCCATCCTCACTAGTGCTGGGATGGGAGGCTATGGACTGGCGATCGTCCAGGCGATTGCTGTAGGCTCAAGTGTGACAGGAACTTGCGGTGTCGCAGCCAGCGCATTCATGGAAGCTGTCAAGGAAGACCAACAGTCTAGGAAATCGAAGGTGGAGTAAAGACAACGTTCGAGGAGACAGAGCATCAAGGACCGGATGATAGAAAGAAGATATGGTCCGTATGAGCATTCATTACTTCCCCGATGATATGTACCTGGCCCGATGGCCACATCGTAATCAGCTAGACCAACAATTCGAAAGAGCTTCAGAGCGGAATTAGCGATACATCGACGACTGCGCTTTGTTCGCCCCATCCAACTCCACATCAGCTCTGCTCCCGTCGTGAAGCTCGTACACCTGTCTCAAAGTTAGCTCAACACCCCTCTCCACATTAGCATGTCAACATACCGGTTCCTGATGCGGCATCTCAACCACGTTGTACCCCTTACTCATCTCCTGCTTCTGTCTCTCTTCTGCAATCTCGCTTTCGATCGCACGAGTCTTCTGCTTCGACTTCCGTCTTCGCAGTAAAATGGTCACTGCAATACCCAGCAGAGCCCCGACTCCAGCGCCAACACCAACGCCGATACCAACGTTGCGTCCCGTGTTCGATTTCCCCTCATCCTTTTGCTCTTCATTTTGGCCGGAAAGGTTCGCTGCGTCGGACGATGGCGTGGGTTCCTCACCCGTTCCCGTCCCCGTCGCTACCGGTGCCGCACTCCTAGTTGTCGAACTCCCGATCGAAGAAGCTGTGCCCACACGTGAGGAAGCCGGCCCAGCACTTGGCGATGCCAGCGCCGCACTGGCAGAAGCTACTTGCTCGCCTCCAAGTTCCTGGGGGATCCTGATTCTCTGGAACACCAGCGCATCAGCGGAAGCCGAACAGCACGCGTTGCTGTCTCCACAACACCAGTACTCTGATTTGGCTGTTCCGTCGCAAGGCGTCAATTGTGAGACGGAGTCTGCTAGATTCTAGTCGCTTGTTAGCTCTCTGAAACTTATGCACCCAGCCACATGCATAGCCACAAACGAGGAAAAGCAACATACCCCGTCTCTGCAGACATCCAAGCAACCCTCCCAATTCGCATTTGCACAGTAAACGCGATAGAAATGTGTCCATGGCTCTGCTTCTTGTCCAGGTGCGCTGCTGAAGCCTCTGTTCTGACACAGCCCGTTCGGCATGCATTCATCCGCCGTAGGGCCGTTTATAACATCGCCGCCCGGTGGGTTCGGCCATTGCGTTTGGCAGCATGTGTTGTAGAGCGGGGAGCCAGATATGGAAGAACAGCGCGAAGTTCCTTCGTCCTGGTGCGCGGTACCGTTGGGGAGGAAGCAGGTGGGCGTGCTGGACGGGAGCGACGCTAGGAGGAGGAGAAATGTTGCAGATATCGGCGCTTGCGACAACATGCCGGGCATCGAGTATGCGGACTGTACTCCGCAAAGGTTGCTTTTCGTCGCTGTCGACAGCTGAAAGTTAAGGTGGAGAGAAGCGGGAAGAGAAGAGTCTGAGGAGCGATCTGAGCGGAAATACACGAACGAAGCTCCCACTTCTTTCCTTGCACTGCCTGATCGTGATGCGAATAAGGCAAACCATCGAGCTAGGGTCATCCCGAATTAGCGTTGGGGTCGAGGGGCCGCGAGATTAAAATTGGATACCGTCCCGTCCCCTTTCGGGTAATTTCCACAGCTCATCAGCGGCTTCAACCGTTGAATTCCGTTAGATGATAATGTCAAAGTGGGTTGTGGTCGCCGACCGTTACGGCGAGGTAAAAATATACATTGAACGACTGTAGACTGTTGATGATAAGAAGCATGAACGAAAGGATGGGGTATCTTGCACGCGCTGTAACGAAAGACAAAATCGCAACGCCTACCACAAAAGGAAATTATGTGTCTCGAGCGAAATCCTTCCGACTGCAAACACCAGCTCATGTCTGCCGACTAAGCAGCAGTTCCACCGCTCGGTCGACCCTCAATCCGTCTCCTAGATCGGTTAACCTTAGCGCCTCTCGGGCCTGCTCGGCTGTGAATCCCATCTCGACAATCCGCCATATGGCCTTATCGGCTGTGTTCTCATGACTCCGCGATCCATAGATATGGTGTTGTTGTTCGTGCTGTTGAAGGGCTCCACTTCTGGGTGTGGAGCTTCCGGTAGATGACTGGCTACTACTCTGACGCATGTGGCGGCCACGGTAAGGTATTGACATGGGATGGGGGCGGAATGCGGGGTGAGGCGGCCCGGGTGGTTCGGACAGAGGATGGTGTAATGGATCTTCGAGGATAGAAGGCATAGATGTACCTGTACTGTAGCGATGCCAATCACGGCTGTTTGTCACCGTGGAAGCGGACGGTGTCGGCAGAAGCGGCTGAGCGAACATGCGGCGGGGTGGAGAGCTTGCGCTTGATACGCTGCCCATGGTGTATAGATCCCGGTTGCTCTGGACTGTCGTGACCGAGGGAGATGGTAGAAGGGGCTGAGCAACCGTTCGACGTGGCGGTGAGGGTGTTCGTTCCCTGATAGGTGCTAGGATCGAAGCGATGCTATTTCGATCATAGTTACTAGGAACTGTGGAGGGGGGCGGTGATGGGAGTAGAGGCTGAGCCACAGTTCGCCGAGGCGGCGAAGCCGTTCTGCTAGATGTCGACCTCGATCTAGGAAGAGGCACAGATGTCGATATGTCCTCTGCAGAAGATGATCTCAGTGCTGGGACATGAGTGATGATGTCCTTTCCCGGGCCTTGTGGTGGTAGAGGAGGGCGTGTCAAGCTTCGGAGCACTGTATCCCAGTCTGACATGGGTCTTTCTTGAGACATGAGAACCATTGGTCGTTGCTCACCATTCTTTTTGCGATCCTTGAGTTCGTCAATATGTTTCTGGATCCGAATCTTGGACTGTTGGCGCTGCACGTCGCGGATTGAGATCTTAGCATATGTATGCGCAATCTTGTCTTCGTAGACGCGTCGGGCTGCTTCTTTGAGGAAGTATTGTCGTGTACCGTCAAGCACAGGAGGCTTCCAGTTGACCCATCCGTTCTCCGCCGCAATAACGAAGGCTTTGGGATCCGAGGGGTGAAACGGGCCGGTGAGCTTGAGAACAGTGTCAAGGCCAAAGGTGAGGAGGTGGTAGATCCATTCGTCTGGTCTGGTTAGTAAGATGCAGAATCATGCAGCGGATAGACGAACCAAGCATCATCTCCTCGCCGTCAATATCGCCACCCCGAATGTCGGTGTTGTCGTAGATGCCAGCTTGTCGGGCTTGAACAGTGCGCCCTTCGAAGTTTTGTAGCAGGACTGAAAGACAGGTCCATAGTTCCATCATGTCGAAGAGCTGCTCGGCGGTAAGGCCGCCTTCGTTCCCTTGCCCGAAACACTCAGGCGCACCGACCAATGTGTCGCTCATGAGGTCTGTGCTCATCATGCTGAAGGTACAGGTCGCTTGATGGACTAGCATACCACCATTGAGCCAGTCCATCTGCGCAACAAGATCCTCTTCACGCCCTTTTCCCGAGCCAAATAGCTTACAAAATGTCCATATGCGCCATAATGCATCGTCGACCCTAGCAGACTCGGCTGGGCAGGCGCTCATGAGCGCAGCTGATATTTCCGGTCGTACGAAGGACTGGCATTTCTCCATAATCTCCAACTTGATTGTGCGGACGACCTGAATATCTCGCTTCTGGAGCTTGAGATACGACGTGGGGGTGTATTCCTCTGCAGGTCGTGTCGTCTCAAAGTCTGCTGCAAGTAGAAGTTCGTGTCCAGGGAAGGCGATCTCTCTGAACTCCCAGGCTGGCGGTGACATCTTCCGCAAGGTAGATTTGATGAGATCGAGTTCATGTCGTTTAAACACACGATAGAAGCCTCTGTTGATAGAGGCCGCGGAGAATAGATCGTTGAAGTGATCTAGATGCTGGAAGATGTTGAGTATGACCTTCTCAGCTCCATCAGACGTAATCGGCGGTTTGGTAATCTTGGTAGAAACGGCTTGCGGAGAAAACACCAGATCCACACTGGAACGCTTGTATTGCGGAATCATAAGTGTCAATGTTCTGCTCGTTCGAAACGACTTCCGCTTCAGCTGTGAAGCGATATGGTCTCGCGGTAGACGGTTGGCTTCAACAGTCGTCCTGGCTGCCAATCGCCGCCTGCTGGATTTACGAGGGACAGCCGGAGGAGGATTATCAGGTAGCACGACATTAGCGAAATCTCTTCGGGGCTGGCCTGTAGTATCAATAAGCTTCCCGTCTTCAGCTGACGCCTGACGCATGCCTGTCCAGGAAGGGTTGCATTCTGCAAGGGGCGTCCCAGCCTGGGCAAGCATGCGAGGATCGCCGTTGCTGCCAAACGAAGAAGCCAGTTGAGCGTGCAGGTCGAACTCAGCCTCGCTCAACGTAGGGCTAGACGCACGTGGAGGAATTGGAAACGCTTCAGATCCAGAGGCTTTCGCCTCGTTGATCCTGCCCATACTTGCATCCGCGGCTAAGTTCTGCCGCGGACCGCTCCGCTTTGAGGACCTTCGGTTCAATCGTGGCTTGCGCTGAGCTACATGAAGAGCACAAGTTGGTTGGAAGGGGAGATTCTCATCGCTAGAGGACGGGTGGACGTATGTTCGGGGCGCTATCGACGGCGGTGCATGGGATTGGCTACCGTTGAAAGATAGGGTGAGCTCAGAGCGAGCGTGTAGAGTACCTCTAGGCGCCAGGGTCTGGCCACTCGGAAGATGCGCTGGAGGTTGGCAGGTGCTGCCTTGTGTCGGAGATTTATCGACTTCCACGCTAGTCTCTGAAGAGTGGTTGCTGTGCAGTGACGAAGCATCGCTATCTTGCGACTCATTACAGGAACTGTTTGACTCGAAGCTACTCTTGAGTTGATTCGGTGTGTGTCGCGTGTCTACGGGGGCACTTTTGCTGACTGTGGGCTGTGTTTGCGGATGCGCGAGTGGAGATACAATGGAATCTCGCATTCGATGGTGGCTTGCTGACGGAGGCGAGACCTCGTGGTGGCTTCCGAGATCGAAAGGGCTCGTTTCGAGAAATGGAAGAGCGGGCAGTGGCTTTCCACAAGGGATTACCACTTGTATCTTAGGCTTCGCAGCCGGATGTCTGGCCCCGCTCGGAATGTTCTTCTTGTGCTTAGCGAGCGTTTTGCGACTCTTCTTTCGCCATTGGATTTTGCCGTGCTTATACGTGCCGATGGTGCCTGCAAGCGATGCGTGGCTTGATGCCGACAGTCCAACTGCAGCATTACTGGCTCCCGTTGCAACCGCTACCGAAGCAATGCTCTTCCGTCTCCTACCCCAGATAGATGTTGATCTTGAAGGCAACGGTACGGTCAAACCTGCTGACGACGGTCGGTTGCCGTCATTGCCGTCCCTGCGACCCTGGGTCTCTGTGTTGTGATTGTGAAAGGGGAGAGCCGCATCGTCTTTAGTATTCTCTGGAACTGCGCGTAAGGTGGTAGCTGACTTTTTCGGTTTTAGCTTAAGTAACGCTGACATCCTTCTCTTCAATGCGCCAGGTGAGGCTGATCATTCAGAGCAACGTGTCAACATGGGCAGTCGGTCTTGAGCAGGTCGATTAATGACGTATTAGGCTGCAGAAAATATACGAGTAGCTGTCTGGAGTCGCTGAGGATGAGTAGTTGGATAAGGGATCTCCCATCGGAGCCGCGACTTGGGCATGGTGCAGGGCAGGGACTGTATATCGTCCGAAGCCAAGATAAACATAACCTAAGGCGCTGCTAGACACCAGCAAGCTCCATGAATAGCCCGGCCGTGGCGTTCCGCACAGAAGATGCATGCAGCGCCCGGCGAAAGCTGAGCTGAGTGAGATGAGATGGAGGCCAACTCCGAGTGGGCGGACAGGATAGCATGGGTAGGCAGGCGGGCGGAAACCCAATGACGCACGCCCCCGGGACATACACGGCTCCTCATTGCGCAATAAACGTTATCACAAGGATGCATTGTAGTGAGGCAGAGCAATGGGGAGCAATCAGAGACATCCAAGGTTGTTGTGTTTTGGCGCTGGGGCCGTGCTATTTGCGGCGCGACTGCTTGCTCAGCCCTTGTGCCGCACTAATTTGGGGCCATTGTGCCGGACACGACGTCCGCCTCGAACTACTCCAAGCACTGCGCCTTACTGAGGCACACCTCATCTATGTCTAAACCCCACGGCACCGTGCATCGAGTTCCATCTCGTTTCAGCTTCTCGACCCCAACATCACTGATCATTTGCATCTGCCTGGTCCTTGGACTAGCGGTGATCCAAGGTTCGCTCTAGCTGTGACCATGACGTCGCTGACGTCGCACTGCAAGGAGCTGTGCTGGCCTTACTGGGGTGAGGCTGTTGGCTACACAGAACATCTTCAACCGAAGCGGAATGATCAGAGACTTCTGGAGAAACCTGGCCCCTCCAGACCCTTCGTGTAAGGCGTGCGCATACGAATAGGAGTGGGCGTATGGCGCGGTGATACACACTACGGCCCACACGGACTTCGACATCGCCCATCTAGTGCTCCGATCAACTTTTAGTCCGCACATGATCGAGGGTCCGTGACTGCGACCCTGTTGCGTATCGTTTGATTGCCGGTCACACCCGTGACGGTGGCTTCGGCTCATTTCATCGGAGCCTTTCTCAGATCTTCTATCATCGCGGCCTTGCAACGCATGAGGAGATAAGAGGGCATCAATGCAACCGCTTATACGTCGTAGCGATCCGTTGCTTGGAGGTCACCTTGCTGGCTTCGATAGTATGAGAACGTGTCGACGCTGCCAACACCCAAAGGTTGGCATAGAGAGTCTTGTCATCCCGCTCCCGAATTCCGGGTAGTCAACATAGTCGATTGGAGGAAGATAACACGCTACATGCTGTGTAACGTTGCGCATAGAGCTGAATGCCATCCTTTGTACTCTGCGCTAGCAATGAGGTAGATACAACATGTATACGGTCTAGTATCATCGTGATGTCGAGAAAGTTTCGAAGCTTCATTTCTTCTCCCGCGACTCAGCGCTACTGAAGCTAGCGATCGCTGTAGATTCAACGGCGGGAGATTGACGTTTAGCGAGATATGGACGCCAACCTGTGCACCGAGCAATGGCAGCGCACGATCCTGAAGTATATCAACCGTATTGCAATTTCTAGACACACTACTGACTAGATCCAGGAAGAGCAGATTGCTCAAGCAGACTCAAGAGCAGTATGCACCTTAGTCTGTCTCAAAGTCTTACCACTAACCTCTCAGGATCGCCGATGAAATCAAAGTCATTCACATCGCCAGATCGGAACAGAGAGCAACCCGCGTCGGCAGATCGGAACAGCTCGACATTCTGCGAAATCGGGAAAGCGCCATCACGGAGTGAGTCTGGTGTGTCTGCGATGGTAAAAGCGGTCGCTAACATGGCCAAGTCAAATCAAAGCCGACCTTGAACAATGCTCCGGTCAGCTTCTCGCACCTCTGCTGAGCGAGATCCACGCCTCGCTGCCATTGGAGCTCCGTGAGAGTATCTACGAGCATGTCTTCGACACCGGCAAGCCAATTATCATCCAGAGAACGGAAGCTGCCGGTAAACCGTTTACGAACGGAGAGATACAACCTGGCGGCGCTGAAGCGAGCGACCATGCGATAGTCACGCGTGGCACCCTCAACCCATTCGTACAGGACTTCTACTTCTCTGTCACTGTGATGGGTACAGAAACCAGTACTGAAGTTCAAAACCTAGCGCTGCGAAAAATGCCATTCTACTTCCGCGGTTCAAATGACGCGTTGTGCGTTAGAGACCTACTAGATACCGAGATCCGGCCGGGGGTATACTTCCGTCATCTCGTCCGCCATCTACGTGTATACCTTCGTACCGATGCTTTCAAAGACGAAGCCAAGTACTTCGCACCGGGTGTGGTGACGACTCCAACAGCAGCCGATTCAAAACATGAAATACTGGACGAAGCATCCACGTATGGGATGTATCTCGGTCGCCTAGAAGGCTTGGAGACGCTCAAATATGCGGATCATACTATAATGCTGGAACTTTGCGTCTTTGCTCCCGAATGGATCCCGCACCAACCCAGTGTTAAGCGCAATCTGTACGAGATGGTGGAACTAGTATACCGCCATGCAAGAGATCGTGGCGCCAATGTGAAAGTACGGTATGAGACGCTCAGCACAGGAGCTGGAGAGGACTGGACGGAGTATCTTGAAGTGCATAGACGAGGCGTGGTGCAGGTACATCATCCTCACATTTTCCCATCTTACATGTGCTGACTTGCCCTAGTCCAAACAGCCACAACGCGCGCTCGACGACGATCCACCGTCAGCCTCCTCACTTCACGATCTGTTCAACGCGCCAATCCCAACCTCCACAACAAACATAAGCTGGAAACACGGTCTCTATGAAGGACCTTGTCCCGAATGTTACTGCGAATCCTGCAAGGAGGATAAAGCGAGGATATGTCCAAGCTGTGGGGTCCGCGGGCACTCACATACCTTTCCCCTGACTTTGGACGACGACGAAGGAGACAACAATCCTAAGTCAATGAGACGCTGGGCACGAGCCGCAAAGGCTGCTGCAAGACAGGCGCGGGCGAGCGGGTCGTGAGATTCACGTGGTCTACGCCTGCGGTAGTAGATTTGCAAACCATTCAAATGTAAATCACATATCCAAGCTGCGTTGCATCAGCATCTGACATTACATCTTTCACAGTCTTCTCCAAGACTAAAAGGATGGGAAGATTACGACAGCATACAGATGCGAGACGGCGGTTGTAAGAGGAACATAACGAATACCTCTGCTTTAATGATTTCATGGATTTGCGGGAGGGATTGCAAGCTCTATTCAGCCTGGGTGATGTTCGCATATGTGGAAACCCTAAAGCTGGAGCGTTGTAGTCAGAGGAGTTGCGTTGTCTTCCATGCTTGGGCACCCATCAATGTCAAGTAGTTGCCACCCCAAAATCATCAGTATCATCAAATAAAGCGGAGTTTTTCCGAAAACTTCCTTCGCCCCAAACAGTGTCTTGGTACCATGGCTCAATCGCATTGACTCATGCGCAATTCCACCCACCAAACCAAGCAACCAGTCACAAAAGCCTTTTACTTTCACAACAAAGTCAGCAGTGTACATGCGCAGCATAGTCACTTTCACACATCTAATATCAAGTAGTGTGTCAACCTCCATCTGAAATGAATTTTCCTTGTCCTCATTCTCTACTTTACATTGTTTGCTACAAAACGACAATCAACCCAAAAGAAGAAACTGTTCAACTAGCCATCGCAACAAAGCACACATTCCAAGCACAAAACATGTCGTCAAATACCACCACCAACAACATGCCATCGCCTCCAACGGCCGCACGCACATCACAATCACAATCTCACATCCAATTCGGCGCGACACCACACCGCGGCCCGATACCACGATACCCGTCATCTTATAAGCACAGCACCCATTCAACCCGCTCATCTCACTCCGCTCACTCAAACCAACCCAGCTTCTCTCCGCCTCAAACCATGTCGCGGCCTTCAACCTTAAAACAACCAGCCGAGGACTTCACAGATATATTGTCGCAGGAGCAGCTGAAGTCCATGTCTGATCTGGACAAGGAAGAAGAAGCCAGGCTGGCAAAGACACATCGGGCCAAGGCGGTGAAGATGGGTGTGGGGATTTGTCGGTGGGTTGGGAAACTGGCAAAGAATAAGAAGGAGGGCCGCGTTGAGAAGGACGAGGAGGTTAAGTGATGGGTGACTGATAAGGGCGAAATGAAGTGGTGCCGAGAAATCATGTTTATCCATGGAGTCTTGATGTAGGAGCTGAAAAGGAAATGGGGAAGACGGCTGATATACGTTGAGAGCCATATCTTTCACATGACATTCGATTTCATAACCATTCAAACATGGCAATGCCTTTCATGTTTTATAGACTTGGTGGCGTTACATCGCACAAAAATAACAGCAAGAACAAGTTTCGGGGTCTCTCCAAGAAACCCACGGAGTATGGTACAACGACCGTCCTTTTCGATCAGATAACTAGACAAGGAGATCGTGATAAAATCAGGGTATGTAACGAAACCACTACAGGTCCAAAAACAACACATGTTCTTACTAAACCAGATACACACCGAAAGCAGAAAGGAAATAGCTGCAGCGACCGGTAAACTCGGGGTATATATCGTAAAGTCATAAATTTGGTGGGCGCAATGTGAGCCCGTCATCTAGCGACATGACTGACTAGTAGCGACCGGTGTAGTCGCAGTATGTTTTCTCATCTTTCCTAGTTCCACCTCGATCTCGGGTAATCATCATCATCGTATACAGATCGGGTCTGAGAGTCGAAAGGGGCGCCCATGCCATTGGTACCACTTCGTTGGCGGGTGTGCCTCTTGTCGGACTCCCGGCGGCGATGGGGATCATCTGCGGTATTGTGCATGTTGGAGGCGTAGTAGTTGCTGGGAATGTCGCGCACCGTGGGATCAGACTGAGTGCCGAAGTTGGAGAAGCTTGGGCTTCGCGGCCGGGCGTTCGGGCCACGAGGGGGAGGTGGCTGCTGGTGATAGTGAGCGTCCATAGGAGGAGCTCCCCACGGTCCCTGACCGGCATTCGATTGCGCGCGCCGACGCTTCTCGTTCGCGGAAGTATCAGAGTAGTTGCTGGAGCTCATGTCTTCGGTATAGGATTTCCCGCCACCAGGAGCTGCTGAGTAAGGCTTGCGCTCCCGCTCGATAGGCACGGACGTAGACATGGGCTCATCTTCAAAGTCCATTGGCCTCACTTCGGGCCTCGAGGAATATGGACTGCGTTCGCGTTCAAGACTGGGCCCTGGAGGAGGGCCTTGAGCCTTGGGCGGCGGTGGTGGGAAGGTAGGTGCCCTACGAAGCGGCCCAACACCCTCAGCGGACAAGGCTGCGGCGCATCTTTGCTGCGCATGTAGGTTCTCGATGGTCGGGAACATCCTACGAGGAAGTTCTTTCGGGAACCGTTCCTTCCGATCGTCTGCGTTGCTGATCGGCATGTCCAAGATGGCCTTTACTAATCGTTCGTATTCGGTGTCGGGATATGCCTGGATCATAGTCGTCATCCATTCCTGAAAGCCTTCGGGAGTAAGCGCAGGGATGTAAGGCGCTTCTGCGGGATGCTCTTGGATGAGATGGTGCTGGCATCGCATGTCGCGGTATACTTTGGAAAGAGCGGAATACGAGAGGTCTCCAAAGATGGCTGTATATGTTAGCATGTGAATGAGAGATCGGACTTGGGAGTGCCTACTTTGCCATGGATAGATTTCATCTTTGAGCTTGACTTCCTCATAGAACTTGAGCATTTTGGCGGGGGAGATGACTAGGCTGTGCTTGGGTTCGTAGTCTTCAATCTATATTGCGGTTAGCGCATGATCTCTCTGTCATCATGGATACGCACCAAGTGCAGAGCCAGTCCACGCAAGAGCTGGCCAAGACGAGGCAGAGGCTGGCCGTCTGGCTCGAACAGTCGCTGCCACATCTTCTCGATCGGGGTATAGTCTTCGGTCATCATCCTGGGCGCAGGGCCTGGCCGCGCAGATGGCCGTTCTCGCTCGACTGGTGCGCTTCGCTCAGGGCGCGGGGTAGGCAGGTCGCTATTGCCATCCAGTAGTGGGTCGCGATATAAGGGGTCGCGCTCGGGAGACTGCTGGCTTGGAAAGTCGGTGCGCTTTGGGGATGGCGGGGTGTACACGTCTCGAGGCGGAATCGAGTTGGATGTCGACACTGGTGAGGGCGGGACCCATTGCTGCGGGGAGACGGGTATGTTCTGTGCTTGTGTAGCACCAGCCATGCCGCTTGATTTGATCTCGTCCAAGACGGACCTCTTCACTTGCTCTGTAATCTGAGCAATGAGGTCTGGGTCGACAACCCGCGCAGCATCAGATTTGTCAAAGGCATGTCCGATGGCAGTCTTCAGTGGCTGCTGGATGGGCTGCGAGCCACTGTCGAAACTGCGGCGGTCCCAGGCAGGACTGGAGTCACGAGGCTGAGAGTCGGAGGCATTGGTGCCAGTGCGAGACTTGGGTCTCGTGGCATAGTCGGGGCTTCTCCCACGGTCGTAGTATTGTTTGTCAAAGGGCGATACGTAGGAAGCGTGGTGAGGGTCGGGTTGGTCGCGGTAGGCCATGCTGGAGCCCAATGGCAGGCGCTCGGGAGCCCCTGCAGTATGACGTTGCGAGGTGGGAGTTGTCGAGTAGGCGACCGTTTGTGGAGCGCAGCGAATAGGTGCTGCTGCTATTGCAGAAATCCCATGCACGCGCGAAAGTGACAGGTTGCTGGAGAGAACTAGCAAAATGGAGATGTGGGCACGGAAGAAGGAAGATGTTGGCAGAAAGGCTGTGGTGACAAACACGGCTCAGCCCGGTGGATTGCGGGCTTTTCGTTTTCTAAGGCAGCGATACCCTGGGCAGAGGGAGTGTGAAGAGGGCAACAAGCAGCAGGTCGGACAAGCGTGTCTTGAAGGGGGGTTTGACTGGCTGCGGAAGGCCATGTTCTACGTGCAGTGCCATCGACGTGCCGCACCGCAGGCTGGGTGCAGGGCGACTGCTGCGTCATACGCAGGCCTGGGAATAGCAGGACGTCATCACGTCTATTTGCAGTCGACCCCAGCCGAGGGGCAGACGGGCAGGATCTTCAGGACAGGCAGAGGATCTTCAGGAGCAGAGGATTGGGGGCACAGAATTGGGGGCACGATGAGCGCGGACTGGCGGTAATTATGTTTGTTTGGTTTAGTAGTCGTCACTTCTAGCGCACGTTGAGCGCGGTAGCGACAGCTGTCAGTGACGGCCATGTTCCGCTCGTTTGCATGCCTCTTGTTTCAACCACACGGCGCTGCCAGCTGCTGGCCACTGCGCTCAGGTCACGGCATGACATTCAACCCATTCATCCCCGTCTACCTTATGAGAAACCGCCAAAAGGGGTGCCGAGCCGGTGGCATGAGGACGCCTTATCAGACGGTCGGCTTATGCGCATCGGGGCGGTTACGGGCTCATACAAGAGGAGCCGAACATGTGTACTACAAACAAAGCAAGTTAAGATATCTGCAATGATATACATGTGTATTCTAGACTAGCATGAATAATAAATTCTTGATGCTTTCGACTGTGTACCGTAGTGGGTGATATGTTCATGTTCCCGTGGATACGGTGCCGGTGGGGCGCGAGTGACGAGCAGTGAGGCGGCTGAAGTGAGACAGTGTGCGTGAGAACAGGCGCA